CTGCCCCGAATCGACCAGCTAGTCGACGAGACGGCGCGGTCGGCGTTGCTCAGTTTTATGGATGCCTTCAGAGGGTACCATCAATATTCATGCACCCGGCAGACGAGGAGAAGACCGCCTTCCTAACTCCGGATGGAGTGTATTGCTATCGAGTCCATGCCATTCGGGACTCAAAAATGCCGGGGCCACGTACACCCGAATGGTCGCCCGGTTATTCCACCACCTGCTAGGAAAGTCGATGGCCGCGTACGTCGACGGACATGCTCCGTCAAGAGTCGAGAGGAGGACAAGCACGCCGGAGGATTTAGCCGACTGCTTTAAAGTAATGATAAAGTATAACCTCCGACTAAACCCCAAGAAGTGTGCGTTCGCCGTCCAGGGCGGTAAGTTCTTGGGCTACCATGGTCACCAAAACGAGGCATTGAGCCTAACCCAGAGAAAGTACGAGCCATCCTCGACATGCAGCCTCCTACTACTATCAAGGACCTACAACGCTTGACCGGACGACTGGCCGCTTTCAGCCGTTTTCTGAGCAAATCGGCGGATAAGACTGTGCCTTTCTTCGAAGCCATGAAGAAGAAAGAGGGATTCGCTTGGACTGCCGAATGCCAACAATCGTTCGAGGAATTAAAACGGTATCTGTCGACTCCCCCAGTACTGTCTACCCCCCAGGAGGGCGAGCCCTTACTGTTGTACCTCGCCGCCTCGGCCAAAGCGGTAAGTTCGGTGCTGGTTCGAGAGGAGGAACGAGTCCAGCACCCGGTTTACTATGTAAGCCGCTCACTGAAAGCTGCCGAGACACGGTACACTGCCCTGGAAAAGATCGTGTATGCCTTGGTGGTCACCGTTCGCAAGTTGGCGCCTTATTTCCAAGCCCATACCGTCCGGGTCCTGACGGATCAACCACTCGGGAATGTACTACGGAACCCCATGTCTTCCGGCCGGCTAGTGAAGTGGGCCGTCGAGCTGACACAATACGGGATCGAATACCAACCCAGGCCCTCCATCAAAGGCCAAGCTTTGGCCGACTTCCTGGTCGAGTGTACGGCGAGCGAGGAGGAGAAGGAAAGTGCCTCGGAAAGCACCCCGGGCGAGTGGTGGGAGATGCATGCGGACGGAGCATCAAGTCGACAGCACTGCGGAGGCGGCGTTGTGCTCATCACCCCGGAGGGATTTCGGCTGTATTACGCCCTAAGGTACTTGTTCCCTGCATCAAATAACGAGGCCGAGTACGAAGCAGTATTGAATAGCCTCCGACTCGCCAAGGGTCTAGGAATCGAACGGCTACGAGTCAAAACCGACTCCCGACTAGTAGTTGGGCAGATCTCGGGTACGTGCGAAGCTAAGAACGCGAGGATGGCGTTGTACAAAGAATGTGCCAACAAGATGTTGAAGGGGTTCGAAGCTTATGAAATAGAATACATATCCCGGGCGGACAACGTAGAGGCCGACATCTTGTCTAAAATCGCCCTGGAAGGGGTGCCGGACCGCTTAATAAAGATTTGCCAGAAGGAGGAGCTAAGTCGGCCGAGCGTCGAAGAGGCGCCGCTAGATGTCCAGCAAGTAAGCATCGAAGGGTGGAATCGAGAGAAAAACCCGGAGATGTTCTGGATAGATGACATCCGGCGATTCAAGGAAACGGGCGAGTTGCCAGCTGACCCATCAGTCGCCGCAAGGGTTCGGCGGAAAGCTCCCTCTTTCCGGATCGTAGACGGAGACCTATATAAACAGTCGTTCGGAGGACCCTTGTTGAAATGCCTACTTAAGCCTGAGGCCGAGAAGGTAATGGATGAAGCCCACAGAGGCATTTGCGCTGCGCACCAGGGTGCTCACACGCTCGCCCAAAAATTGGTCGTTCAAGGGTATTACTGGCCGACCATGATGCGAGATTGTGTCGAACGGATGTCCAAATGTGGCGTTTGTCAGGCATTCGCCAGGAAAGACACTCGGCCAGCCACCTTCTATACACCGGTCACCACTGCCATTCCCTTCGCCAAGTGGGGAATAGACCTGTTGGGACCATTACCCGTCGCCCCGGGAGGATTGAAGTTTTGCGTCGTGGCCATCGATTACTTCACCAAGTGGGTCGAGGCGGAACCCCTGACCACCATCACCGAGTACCAGTGTCGACGTTTTCTGTGGAAAAAGGTGATCTGTCGCTACGGTTTGCCCGAGCACATCGTCAGCGATAACGGGCGACAGTTTGATTGCCAGGCATTCGCCGAATTCTGCCACCGACACGGTATCAAGCATACCAAGGTATCGGTGGCCTACCCCCAGGCAAATGGACAGGTGGAGAATGTGAACCGAACCCTGGTCGATGGGATCCGGAAGAAACTCGAGGACGTCCGAGGAAACTGGGCGGACGAGCTTGATCGAGTCCTCTGGGCCTATCGCACTACCCAGCGGCGAGCGACGGGAGAGAGTCCGTTCTCACTCGCATACGGCTTTGAGGCCAAGGTTCCCGTCGAAGTGGTCGAACCCACCCATCGGGTTCGCACCTACTCGGACGCAACAAATGAGGAGAGCCTGCGGATTGAGAAAAATTTTCTAGAAGAAAGAAGGGAAGCCGCGAGTGCGCGAATGGCTGAGTACCAGCAGGCAGTGAAAAGATACCGCGACCGCAGAACTCGCCCGCGAACCTTCCAGGTTGGCGACCTAGTGCTGCGGGATCGACAAGCCAGCCAGCCCACCGAAGGAGGCAAGCTCGCGGTCAAGTGGGAAGGACCGTACCGCATCGCGACCGTAGTTCAGGCCGGAACTTACAAGTTAGAAACCATGGAAGGCAAGCTTATAGACCGTATATGGAATGCAGCACATTTGAAAAGGTTTTATCAGTAGCCCATGATAGGCCATGTACGAACTCGAGGACTCCAAGAAATCTGAATAAAAGTGCGTGGGTTGCAGTTAATCGTCCCCAGAGACTCGGCAAGTATATATAGAAACAACGGGGCACTGACCCTAAACCGTTTCTGAGAGCAGAAAAAGCCTAAAGGAGTCGCCTCGACTGAGGGACTCGGCGAGAGAAAGATAGGAAACAAGGGCCCAGACCCTTAGACGTTTCCGTGAAAAAGCCAAAAGGAGTCGCCTCGACTGAGAGACTCGGCAAGTATATATAGAAACAACGGGGCACTGACCCTAAACCGTTTCTGAGAGCAGAAAAAGCCTAAAGGAGTCGCCTCGACTGAGGGACTCGGCGAGAGAAAGATAGGAAACAAGGGCCCAGACCCTTAGACGTTTCCGTGAAAAAGCCAAAAGGAGTCGCCTCGACTGAGAGACTCGGCAAATATATATAGAAACAACGGGGCACTGACCCTAAACCGTTTCTGAGAACAGAAAAAGCCTAGAGGAGTCGCCTCGACTGAGGGACTCGGCGAGAGAAAGATAGGAAACAAGGGCCCAGACCCTTAGACGTTTCCGTGAAAAAGCCAAAAGGGGTCGCCTCGACTGAGAGACTCGGCAAATATATATAGAAACAACGGGGCACTGACCCTAAACCGTTTCTGAGAACAGGAAAAGCCTAAAGGAGTCGCCTCGACTGAGGGACTCGGCGAGAGAAAGATAGGAAACAAGGGCCCAGACCCTTAGACGTTTCCGTGAAAAAGCCAAAAGGAGTCGCCTCGACTGAGAGACTCGGCAAATATATATAGAAACAACGGGGCACTGACCCTAAACCGTTTCTGAGAACAGGAAAAGCCTAAAGGAGTCGCCTCGACTGAGGGACTCGGCGAGAGAAAGATGGGAAGCAAGGGGCCAGACCCTTAGTCGCTTCCAAGAGAAAAAGCTGAAAGGAGTCGCCTCGACTGAGGGACTCGGCGAGAAAGAGCTGGGAGACAAGAGCCCAGGCCCTTAGTCGTTTCTCGGAAGAAGCATGAAAGAGTCGCCTTGACTGAGGAGCTCGGCGAGGGAAAAGCAAAGTTCGAAGCCTTAGAAGAATGCCAATATTAAAAGAGCCCAAGGACAAAATTCCGTGAAAAGAGATGGAAAAACTGTTTCTTTATTAAAACACGGCCGATAAGGAGGCCAGCCCTTACAAAAAGAGGGTCTATCCTAAAAAGACCCTAGTTTACAGTGGAGGGGGTATCGACGGCGACCCCTTCAACTTGCGCCCCCGCCGATGGTCCAGCAAGGGGAGCAGAGGAAGGGTCCTCCGCCTGAGGAAGGGACTCGGGAAGCTCTGGAGGCGTCGCCGCAGGAAGAGTCGCCGGGTCAGTAGGCGCAGTCGGCCCATCAGCGTCCAGCACCGGCTTGAGGCCCCAGCTCTCGGGAGTGAACGAGGGATCGCGGGCCAACAAGGTGGCGTGAATCTCCATCTGCGCCTCGCGGAAGCCGAGGCGGTAATCTCGCTCGCCCAGGTCGAGGAGGAAGTCATCGCCCTCCGGGGTCGCCAGCCACTCCTTGGCCACCTCTTTCCTTCGAGCTGCCACCGCCGCCTGCACATCCGCCTCGAAGGCCGCTGACTTCTTATAACTGCGATGGAAGTCGCGGCGATCGTGGCCACCTTGCCCTTCTCCTCCTCCCATTGACGGGTGACCCTCAGCAGCTCGGCGTTGTGCACCTCCACCATCTTGAGTTGCTTCGCCTGCTCTTCCAGAAGAGCTTCCTCTGTCTGGCGCTGCTTGGCGGTCATGGCCCGCATATCGTTCCTGAAGCCCTGGAACCGATTGCCCAGTTCCATCTGGAGGGCGAGGTCCTGCACATCAAACTATCAGTCAAACGGAAAAGGAAAAAGAAAGCGAACAGAAGGGAAAACTGACTGGTTGACACTTACACGATACGACTGCCGGAGCAAAGCCTCGATGATGAACCCGTCGCCAAGAGCACGGGTCGACTCCACATCCTTTGGCAAAAGGACATCCTTGCACCACTTGCGAACGGAGGTGTTGCCCATCCAGATTTGGGCGTCTTCGTCCACCTCGTGGCACAGCCTGATCCTCTTTGGAGCCGGCCCTCCGTAGGCTCAGCAGGCCGCTTAGAACTCGGACTCTCAGTAGAGGGAGGAGGCGGCTGCCGACTGGGCGATACCACGGGCGAAGGTGTGAGGTCGACCACGTTGTGGGAAGATGCAGGAGTCGGCCGGACCGCCGGCGATGGCTGAGATGAGGACGCAGCGGCCGTACCCGTGGAGCGTTGCGTCAGGCGACGCCTCATCTTTTCCGCTCTATTTGCCATCTCAGGAGTCGGTGCGATTGCTTCGCCGGAGCTGGAGGTATCGGAGTCGTACGGACCTGTAAAAGAAATACGATCACTTGTGAGTGCTCCCGTAGAAAACAAAAAGCAAGACGAGAAGGAAGAGGAAAGAGACGCTACCTATGGTGGCGGCGCCCTCCGGCAGAAGGCCATGCTTGGCCATGGCCCGGACTCGAGACCAGTACTTAACGGAGTACGGCCCGAAGCCCTTCAAGAAGTCGCCGCCCATGACAGCATCCTCCGTAAAGACGGCGCGCCGAGAGCAGGGCTTGAAGAGAGTCGCCGGCCAAAGGGTCGGAAAGGTGAAGGAAGAGGAGCGAGGTCGGACGAAGAAATAAAGGGGCTTCCACTCTTTTATCGAGTCGGACAACCCCTCGAAAAGTTGTCGCCCCGGACGGGCGGCGACTTGGATAAAGCCGGGCGAGTGAGAGCCGACCTTGTTCACGGTAAAGAGGTACCGGAATAGGTCCAAATCTGGCTCGCACTTCCACCAATGGCAGAGATTGATGAAGCTGGTCAGGAGTCGATGAGAATTAGGCACTAACTGGCCCGGGACCAAGTTATAATGCCGAAAGAGAAGCGAAAGAAATGGGTGTGGGGGCACTCGGAAGCCGAATGCAACCGAGTGCAAATGGATACCCACAAAACCCTCCGGCGGGTCGTGGATAGGCCGGCCCTCCGCCGCGACGACCATGGCCGAAGGGCCAAGCAGAAAGCGGGCCATATCCAGGTCCGCCGCTGTGGCCGACGATGGAAGACCGGACGGCCGGACAACCGAGTCAAACTTGCCTCGCGGCCGCACAACGCCGCCCGGCAAAGCCGCCACCGTAGTTAACGGGGCTGGGCTCATCGGAGTGGCCGCCCCAGAAGAAGAAGGGGCTAAGAGGGAAGAGGAAGACACCGCCTGGAAGTCCGCCGGCATTTCCAGGCGGCGGACGACGGAAGAAGAAGAAGAGGACGACGGAGAAGTCCCCGCCGGGTTGTCAAAGGACGGCCGGCGGGAGGAAGAAGAAGAATGAGAAGAGGAAGACATTACTTACAGATTGGAGTTGAGGCGGAGAAGACGATGACAGAGCAGAAGCTTGGTGGGAGAATTGAAGAAGAAGAATGGAAGGAAAAAGCCTTTTAAAGGGAGAAAGAAGTCCAAGAGGCTGCCACGCGGCATCTCCGTAATGGAGGAATCGGAGGCGATAAGACGTCGAAGGGACGCCGCATTTAATGCCTCGATGGGCGGAATGACGGTTCAGGCCTAGGGCTAGCCTGCAAGCGGCGCGTCTACCCTAGGCCGAGGCTGAGTGATGATGACCCGGCCTGTCAGGCCAAGAGCCCATCAAGGCAAAAGGCTATGGGGACCCATCCAGATCACGCTAGAAGTTTCTAGAAGTGACTCGGCCGGGTCCGGCCAAATAAAGAGGCCCGGACGAGCTTCAGGCTGCAAGATCGGCCGACAAAATTTGCCGAGTCCCCCACCCACGGGACTTAGTCGGACAGAGTTTACAAGTCGGTCATAACGGCCAAGAGCCGGCCAAAGGAACACGCAAAACCGGGGACCGAAAAGTAAAAACGAGATTTTATTCCATAAAGACAGGGGTACAAGGCCGAGGACTCGGCTATAGGCATTACACAAAAAAGACAGGCCTAGGGCTTAACTTCCTCCTCCTCCGCGTGACGCACCGGCTCCGGACCCTCCAAATAGTAGTGGGGGCGGAAAGGCAGCGGACTCGGCTCAGGCTCGGGCTCGGGCAGTTCATCCAGATACACAGCAGGCTTCCCATCTACAACCATCTGCAGGGGCCTCTCCAGAGCACTCGGCGACATGGCCACGCCAAAAAGCGGAGGAGCCTCCCAGTCTAGATCCCCCTCTGGCTCTGGATCTTCTACCATGGGCACCATCTCGTCCTCCTCCGGTTCCACGACCATCGGATCAAGCATGTCAGGAGGCACCACGATGGGATCAGAAGCGGAGTCGCCCACCAGGTACCCTCCGCTAGCCGCCCTCTTCCGCCGGAGCTCCTCCTGCCGGGCATGCTCCTTATTACGGATGGACCAACGACGATCACCGTCCCTGAAACTCATAGCTTGAGGTTTTTGAGGTGTAAAATGGTGAGAAAGCACAGAGCTACCAAAAGCCCTTATATAGAGCCTCGAGAGAGCAACGACCGAGGCGCAAATCACGGAGGGAATCGTAACTGACATAACTGAGCCGGATTGGATGGGCAGCGTGAATCTCTGTCAGAGACTAATCCCATCCAATTAGCTCGGGAAGGGTGAGATTCGCACGCTAAACTGGAAAAAGCCTGGCTCGCCCTGGGAAGTGAGATTTACAGGTGTCAAGCGGAAGGAGGACTCGACATCGCAGCCGACTCCTCGACAATTGAGACGGACGGGTGCACTAAATATACTGAAAAAGATGAAAACTGAAGGCCGGAAATATTTTATTATAAAATAAAGAAGGTGCAGGTTACAAGGAGCTTATTATAGAGTAAGCGAGTGCTCCTAACAGAGCTACCCCTCTACAGAATCCGGCCGACCCCAGTCCACAAAGATCACTCACTCGGCGAGGAGGAGCCACTTCCAAAGAACCCTTCCGATGGCCCAGGAGAGGGTGGGCAAAGCGAGTCCCAGAACGCCGGCATGAGTGGCGGCACAACCAGCTCTTCATCGTCCGGGTACATCTCTTGATAACGAGCGAAGTCTTCC